AACTATCTCAGACAGATGGGGATTGGGGCTGTAGTGGCTGGGATTGGGGTGCTGGAACTGCCACGGGCCTGAATTTATGTGAAATGGTCAAATCATGGCTATGAGATGGCATAGTAAATCAATTATCTCATAAATCTGTATAAATAATTAAGTTATGGCCAAAAAAACACCTAAAAACTCTGGAGAAACTCTGTGAGGGCTCTGTGCACATCACCAGCAACTATCTCAAACAGGTGGGGATTGGGGCTGTAGTGGCTGGGGATTGGGGTGCTGGAACTGCCAGGGACCTGAATTTAGGTGAAATAAGCAGTTCATGGTCATAAACCACACATGAGATAATAAATTAGCTCCTAAATCTGTATAAAATTATCAAATTATGGCCATAAAAGCACCTAAAAACTCTGGAGAAAGAGAAACCCCACGAGGAATCTGTGCACATCACCAGCAACTATCTCAGACAGGTGGGGATTTTGGTGGTTGAACTGCCAGGGGCCTTAATTTAGGTGTAATAAGCAGTTCATGGTCATAAAACACATATGAGATAATAAATTAGCTCCTAAATCTGCATAAATAATCAAATTATGGCCATAAAAGCACCTAAAAATTCTGGAGAAACCCAGGAGGGCTCTGTGCACCCGCCCTGGGGGCTGGAGAAACCCAAGGATGGCTCCGTGCACATCACCAGCAACTATCTCAAACAGGTCTGGAATTGGGCTGGAATGGCTGGGATTTGGGGTGCTGGAACTGCCATGGGCATGAATTTAGGTGAAATAGTTAAATTACAGCATTAAAGCTCATGTGAGATAACACAGTAAATCAATTAGCTCCTCAATCTGTGTAAATAATCGAATTATGGCCATAAAATGCACATGAAATAATACAGTAAATCAATTAGCTCCCAAACCTGTATAAAATAATCAAATTACAGCCATGAAATACACATGACATAGCTTAGTAAATCAATTAGCTCCTGAATCTGTATAAAAGAATCAAATTATCTCCTATATTTCTATAAAATCATAACTTTATGGCCATAAAATACCCATGAGATAACACAATAAATCAATATCAACACATAAATCAATTATCTCATAAACACATTAATCCATTATATCACAAGCTTTTATAAAATAATTGATTTACTATATTATTTCATGGGTGGTTCTAGGCCATAATTTGATTATCTCATAAACCTGTATAAAAGAATCAAATTCCAGCCTAAAAGCACTCATGAAACAACACAATAAATCAATATGAGATAACACAATAAATAATCTCCTAAATCTGTATAAAATAATCAAATTACAGCCTAGAATGCTCATGAGATAACACAATAAATCAATTATCTCATAAAGCTGTATAAAATAATCAAATTACAGCCTAAAAACTCCCATGAAACAACACAATAAATCAATTAACCATGTGATTCATGCACTATCCCAATTTTTTCCGTTTTCACAGGCTCTGGCAATGCTCCTGGCTGGCAGAATTCCCATTTTTCCCTCTTTTTTTTTTGCTTTTCCAGATCCTGAATGCAGCTTATCACGTGGAGGTCACATTCCACTCGGGTTC